TACTACTATCGAATCACAATGTTTTTTTTTCATATACTAAGAATCCTGCTCATTATTCTGTATAAACAGATCGCAAAATAAAATCAATAAAAAATTACTTTGTATATTATAAACAAAAACAAACTTTAATTCTGCACGAGAACTTCAACATTGCATTTTCCTCTGTATAATAATAGTTTTGATATTTTTTTATTTCTGTCAATCGCAAATAATTTGAAACTGAATCTAAAATCATGCTAAAACTATAATCGAAACGTATGAATTTAGGTACTAAACTTCTAAAAATATCACATTTTTATTGATACGCCAGATTAATAGACCTGAATGTATATGCCTACATCAAATTCTAGATTATACCTAATTATACATATATTCAACAAATACTATTCCTATTAAAACGCTTCTGAAACTTGTAAATCATTATTTATTTTACCATAATTATAATCGCAAAGACAAACTTGCTTCAATCAACCGCACGTCAATATCAAAGCGAAAATGCCAGGCGAACAGACGCTTTCCGGAGCGCAACACGCACATTGGCGCATATGTGTTGGTAGACGGGATGGCAAACCTTTTTATAACATAAAATAAGCAAGGTAAAATAAATAGAATATAAAATTCATCAACGGCTAATTTGAAATGTATTGCATCTAAAAATTTAAAAAAATTGATCATACAATTAATGGGAAACCCTTCGTAAGAGATACATTGAAGATCGATACATTGAAGATCGCAAAAAATAATTTATTAATTCGCTTGAATTTAAATCAAAGTAACCACTGTTCATCACTAATATTCACAAATGATCACAAAACATTTACTTTTCATTAAAAATCACTAATGCTTGTCACCTTGCAAATTATTATTGAATCTTTGTCTCTGATGAAGGCAAAATAAGGTTATGAATAAACTTTTATTTATGAGCGTTTGGAGAATCTTCATATAGAAAATATAAATATCTTTCATTATTTCTCGAACTCTCCATTCAGTAGATGACAATATCTTTTTTAAATTACTTTGTGAAATAAAGGAATTCGAAAATCACCATCAAAGTTTAAGGCAATGAACAATATTAGGTTGTGAATAAGGAGAAATGTAGCAAATGTGAAAGTAGGTGAAATGTAATGCAACAAAAGATGTTGATTCAAATCGATGATAGAAATACAATAGAATATAAGAACCAATTCTCCGATATATTAGAAATGTTATTGCAAAGCTTTGCTATAGTCCTATCTTTATTAATTGGTAGCAAAAACTGTCAAAAAGTTATGTATTCTCATGCGATCAGGCGTTTCACACATAAAACCTAACTTCACGTATGTGTTATCAATGAGACATTAGAAAGGCGCACTTATGATAAAAACTATTTGATTTTTGTGCGTTTTGTAGGTCAGGTTTTATGTGTGAAACGCCTGATCGCATGAGAAATACATAACTTTTTGACAGTTCATACAAAGATATGACCGCAATATAGCGTTGCCATAACATTTCTATTTTATCGGAGAGTTGGCCTCATAATGTTATTTTATGTGGTCTATGTAGAAGATTAAAATTGCTAACATAGTAACAATAACAGCAAAAAAACTACTCATTATATATAAATGATGTAAAACTAATACTTTTATTTACATGATTATATAAAATTATTAACACCATTACATACTCCCGTTATTGCCAACATCGCATGTCAGCATATTTTTGCATTGGAACCCATAAATTTATTAGTTGCAGAACCCTGGAATTTTACATTTACTTGGGCGCGCTTGTCGAGAAATGCGTCTGTTCTCCTAATACGTCAGACGATTTTAAAGCAAATTTTATATGAAAAGAGCGTAAGAGAAATAAAACGAACGCAAGTTGCAGAATCAAGTACTTTTTTACTACCGATGCAAGCATGTATATGTTACATAAATAGCTTCAGCAAACGGTCTGAGGCCCGAGTATCTGCAGGAGATGACATGTAACTTTACTGCATCGATGTAACAAATTAAAATTAAAAGCATTTTTTTTTCAAGTAATAAAATATTTTTATAGCATTTATCTAGGCGTAAAAAACAATTAATAGTAGCATTTCAGTTTTCAATACAATTTTGGAATTTACTAGGGTGCACTAGTGGATCAGACACCAGGGCCGACAGACAGATGAAGGAGCGGATGATCAGACAAGCAGACGGTGGGAAGACAGATAAACGAACGAAAGTTCTGGCGGAAGGACGAATAAATAAACTGTCGAGCTAACGAATAACAAAACTACGTTTTTTTCAATTTACTTTTTCAATTTTTGTCTTTTTTTTTCGTATTAAGATTTGCTAGGACCGTTTAGGTGTGGAACACTGTAAATAAAATACCCAATTATATTTGTTTTTAACTTTTTAAAAATTTATGGCTAACGTTAACGATAATTAAAGATTATCGAATCAGAAGTTACACAAATACGAATTATTTTTTATATTTCTAGATAATTTAGTATAAGTTACGACAAGTAGAATATAGTTTACGTGAACTAAATTTGGCTAAATTAAGGCAACAACTATCAAGTTGTTCAACCGTTCAACGCAGAAGATCAGATGTCGCGGTGCACATTGGCCAAAGGTCAAAAGTTGCACTTTTATATTCGCTTTGTTATACAATTTTATTAATTAAGAATCTTTTATTTGAGAGTTCTCTTCGTTTTTCAGCGATCAATTTTTCAATTTACAAAATTGTATGGAAAAATTAGCTCATTATTTGGTTGAATAATATTGTTTAATTTTTTGTTAGGGGTCACTGGTTGAGATCTCAAAATTGGATGTGTATTATTATAGTCTCCGCCGACACAATTTTAGGCCCAAGACTTTAAGAAAATGTTGAAAATTATTTACCTTTAATATGGTAGAGATACAGGTAAGTTGTAAACTTCGACTAAGGTGACTTGTAAATAATATTCCTAAAAAAATAGTTGATTCAATCAAAAGAACTCTTTGCAAATTGCCACTTGATTGTGGAGTATAGTAGAACGAGTACAACAGAATTACGAAGTGATTTTTTTATGTTAAATTATTTATTTATGACTATAATATATTATATATAAAATAATATATATATATATATATATATATATATATATATATATATATATATATATATATGTATATATATATATATATATATATATATATATGTATATATAGATGTATATAAATTATTGCAATGCCCCTGAAAGGCTATTTTGTCATGTTTGAGATCTATAATCCCAAATGAAAGTCTTATATGATAATACTTTATATCAAGCTGGCCGATATTGGGACCAAATTCGCTGCTAATCTACAGTCTTACCTCTTTTTCCAATATTAAATCAATACAAAAAACCTTTCTATTCAAACGGTTTATTTTAGTTTAGTTATCGAAGGCAACACTCAAAGGTTTATCAATGGCACAGAACTGATATATCTATCCATGAAGTGATTACGGATAAAGAATACTGTTCAAGAAAAATATTACTGAAGAAGAAATAAGACTAATTAGCCGCTAAAACCCTCAACAAGAAAACGGTTGTAGGACGATTGTAGACTATGCCTAAAAAAGAAGTAGGATAATTACTATAAAAGATAAAAGTAATTCATTACCTTCATAATTTTACATACAGGTGTCCAGTACACTATCATAAAACAGAAAATATTACTAATTTGCCTAAACAATACATATGATATTGCACTGCAGTATTTGTAACATGGAACATTAGTTCGGCCACAGGTAGTCAACACCTATGAAATATACAAACATTAGTATTTAATTATAATTAAGTCATTTGCAGCTATGTAGCATTGCTTAAAAACATAGTACCTGGTGGAGTACTCTCTCAATGGCAGTTGGTTTGAAAAGTTGTCGCCCTGTAATGGTATTTAGAATAAACAATCCTTATAATTATAACTCATTTATTAAATTGTAATATTTGATAAAGATTCATAATTACCTCTACTTGATCTTTCGTAAGACATCTAAATCCAAACAACACCATCCAAACTAAAGTAGCCATTGTCTAAAATCAATTTCTGTATCACAGTAAAACATTAATGTTAATCTATTTATCCACAGCAGCAAAATTATAATTGAATCACATCCAGATTCATTTTGGTTTAAAACAAATCTGAAATAAAAAATAAGTTTAAACTAGATTATCATAATGCGATAAAACTAATGTACACACACGTATATGAATCATGAGTAAGATATTTGATAAGTCGCAGTATGAAATAAAACAGGTGGAAATAATTGCATGTTAATAAATGCAAAACTAAATCAATAAAACTATGCTTCAATGTTCCAGTCAATGACTACGTTTGCATCTAATATTGTTTGATCTAGTAACACTAGGTAAAATTCAATTATTCTCAAAACATTCTGGTATATTGTGATTTTAATGTTAAATAATAATATAACGCATAATTTTAAACTATTTCTTCATATGAAAATCATATCAACAGTGTTGGTTTTAAATACCAAAGAAATACAATCATTTCAATTCCCTCATTTATATTGTATCTAATAAATTTTATAAATAAAACAAAGAACAAACTTACTAACCAGGAGTAGCTCAGGTTTACTTTTCTCGGATATTGATCAAACTTCGCATGGTGACAGGGCTAATAGTCAAACCGAACAATTTAAAATAATATAAGCCTATGAGGAGTTTAATTATAAAAATTAATTGGAGTTTCGAATAATACGTACGCTTACATGATAAGAATAAGACTAAAACAACTGGATTATATAATTACTTTCTTTATTTATCTATTTAATTTTTTTATAATTTTTCTAATTTCCTTAATATTATTTGGATATATTTATAACATTAATATAATAACCTCTTACATAAAAGAATATATACTATATAGGATCTGGTGGGGGTGTCTTAGTAGTTTTTGAAAATGTGCATTAGCTTATTTGGTGGTATCTGTATGATTGTGTATGCGGCCAACGATTAATAATTTTGGGTGTTGCGATATATCATACATGTAATAAATATTACATAAAACATAACATATATAGTTTGACTCTGCGTATATATTATTTCTAACATTTGTGTATATGTATGTTCAAAGATAAATTTTGTGTTTTGTACTTGTGTGCATTACATATACATATAATTAAACATACATAATTTGGTGACTATATGAGATTTTAATAAAACACAAATACAGGTGAGTCACCAATATCAAACAATTATATACAAAATTCTGATTAAAACAAATAAATATGTCTTGAATAAACTGTTAGTGATATTATATTGATATCATTTCCTAACTTTACTGTACTTAATCACACTTCTTATGAAAAATTATACACACTCATCACTTAAATTTTAATGGTATATAGAATTAAAGTATGCCGTTTAAATAATTTATATCAGAGTAAAGGCGTTGTCTAAAGCATCCTCATAAGTTGGTAATCTTACCACTTACATATAATATTCATATCGTAATAATATACGAATTTATCTTAAAGTATCTTTGTGTATATGCATATGTACATTTTTGTATTGTATGCTTGTAACAACACGGTTTACATATGAATGTTTGGTTAATATATTTAAATGAAAAGATGAAGAACTTACAATGAACAATTAAATTAAAAATATAAAATAAATATAAACTAAAATAAATAATATTGGTTATGTACAATAAAGCATATAAATAGATTAAACTCCTATCCAAATTCACACTCTCAAACTCAAACGAAAATTGATATGCGTATTACATGATATACACCACTCTCACATACTCAAACAATAGACATTCACTTTATACTTACTATACAAATACTCAAATATACATATACATATACATATAAACATACACCCAACATGCATACATGCATATATACAGACATACAAACAAATGTAAAATCTGTTCCTGTGTGCGAATGTATGGTTCAATGTAGTATTTTTAATATATAGGGTTTGGCTGTTAATTATTGGTAACATTAATGTATATTACGTATTTTCTAGAAGTAAGAATTTTTTTACTGGTAAGGCTTATTGAATGCAGTTTTTGATCCACTCAAGACTATTTAGAAAAATTGACTTCAGAACAAATTAAGACTTCAAAACTGTATTTGTATTGTCTGCAAGACACTTAAAAATATTTTAGTTAAATCAGATTATCCTTCCAGGAATTGATTTCTCACCTCTGTTTAATTTTTGTAGAAAATCAAACTGGTGTTTTTTTGTGTTTGTTGGAAGTTTAGCTGACAAATAAAATATCTTTAAGCATAATATATAATCCAAACGTTCAAATTGTTGTAAAAATGCATATAATAGATAATATATTTGGATTTCTGAGTAAGTTTAGTTATATGTAAGTTCATACATGTATATTTCTATATGTATATGTGTACACATGCATGTGTGTGAGTATTAATGTATGGAAAAATCTATATATATACATACATACATACATGCATACATACAATATATATATATATATATATATATATATATAAATTTACGAATATAAAATAAAATAATGAGCATGATTTGACAACGTTGGTAATTATGTAATTAGACTTGTATCAATATAACTATATATGTTCATAATTTTAGTTTTATTAAGATATAATTAGAACGCAACCCCCAACTACGTGTTGTTGTCGGCCGTATTATAAATGGGCGTTAAATCCAAAGTGAGATTTCGCAGTGTGTGGTTTCTAAGGGCTGATCTGGTCAGACGAGAAGCCCTGATAATTTCTATGACCAGGCTACGACAGTCGTGGCAGACGATCATCAATTCGCCTCTAAGACTTTCGGTTGTGCCGGAACGAGCACTGGTGTGAGACCTAAATCTAACAAAATAATTAAGTCAAATATTAATAAAACATTTGATGATCGCAGATGATCACCTTTGAATTAACACCACACATTAGTATTTTGAAAAACAACTACCTTTGATCCATGGTCTGATGCCTAGGGCTCGTTGATTTCGGGCACTCATCTGTCGAGCAGGTCATAGAATCTGGAGCAGAATTTCTACCCCTGTTCGGACTGCATGGCGCACTACCGATTCTATCTTGAAACTAAAACATAAAAGTAAAACGTAAGATAAAATTGTAAATCAGAAAAAATATATTTTACAGATTTAAATAGAATAAACCTATGGGTAAGTATATTCAGTTTGGAAAGAATATCCAAAACGCTCGTGACTTTTACCAAAATTGCAGTCAGAAAATGAAAAATATGGATCTATTTCACGATACACTTTTTGCATATATACATGCTAAACCATTTAATTAAAAACAAGTTTTATTTGATATTAATCAACCTCAATGCACTATATGTATTACCTTTCTTTCGTTTTCAGGAAGTAACAATCGGGCCATCAGCCGCCTCGGGAATGAGTCGTCCATTGGCATTCCTGCTGGATTCCTGTGAGGCGAGCACGGTGCCGTTGGAGGCAAAGACGTGCAAGGGCTACAAACCGAAGGGCTCAAAAGCACTACTGGAACATTTCGAAAATGTTCCGTTGGTATTCGCATCTGTAAAGATAAAATTTAGTTAGAACAGTTCACCTAAGAAGGGAACACGGACACCTAAGAAGGAATCACCAAAGAAGAGTTTGTAACATCATTGAAAGGAAGGTTTAGCCAGCCGTGGTTTAACCGGTACAGACGTGGGCTAGCACAAACTAGTCCCGGATTCGATCCCAACCTTGCCCAAGCTCGATATCAAACAGTATGATACACTTGATGTTATAGATCTCGAATATAACCTTGAGTGAAATTCGTCTTTCGCGAGCATATATGCTTAGTACATAGTAATATAGAAAAAGAGTGGTTAACCACTGGGTTGCTCTCTCAGAGAAAAATAACATGTTAGCAACCACAGCCCAAAGAGCACGTAGTTCTGATTGCTATTAAAAATGATAAAAAAAATTAAAGAAAGGTTTGCTAAAATCATAGTCTGTATAAGAAGAGCAATATTTCTTCGCGTTTCAACAATTTACACAAACAGATAATATGTAATATTGAAGTTGGCGTATCTTAATATAGCAAGTATAGTATTTTGTTTACCTTTGAGTAGCATTTGGCGCAAACGGTTCTTTTGCACAACTTGCACCTCTGACCCCATGGACCGAATATTCCAAATCTTGTTTTTAGACACAAGAAACAAACCTAGACAAAAAAAAAAGAATTAAATATGGATTTTATCAAATTATGTTTTTATTATTCAAAAATTTTTTTTTTTCAAAGTAAAAACTATTTAATAAAAGTTGTTATTGGAAAATATTAATGTTCATAATAAAAATAATCATTAAATACAATTAATATAATAATATTTTGCAAGATAAAAGTTTTAAGTTGCAGCAATGAAAAACTGGATGGTATTTATTATTATGTAAAATAGTTTTTTATTTCTTAAAATACCTTTCGTTTTTCTGCATCGGCTTTTACTCTGCATTCAACTGGCAAACCTTCTAGTTCAGCCTTGGTTAACACAGAACGGATGTGAACAATTTCCTCCAGAGTTAACGACAAACGCTCATCCAGAGATATTGAATCTTGCCACTGCTTCTGGAACAAATTGTCAGCATTAATAAATTAAACTTATTAATTTATTTTAGTTACTCGAGCAATGTTTAACTTTACTAACAGAAATAATGGAAACAATATTCTTGTTTTTACACAAAACATCACTTCATATAGGGCAATTAATAGATATTGCAAAAATAGATAAAAAAATATTTTTGTATCTGTATATATTATTAATCTTTCTTCTATTACTATGGTTAAAAGCAATCAATTACCGATGGCATTAGTTCGTCTTGAAGCGAAGTCGTCGACCAAGACATCCTATCGCGTTGATCGGCTACACTGCTACAACTGGTGACACCATCGGTGCAAATGGAAGAAGAATCTGCTGGTGGCTGGTTGGTCTGGCTAACGTTTTCTGTGTGAGCATCAGCCAAAAGATCGCAACCCCCGCAAGCCACGATCGTATGCCGACGCATAGATGCACGCCTTGAAGAGCATTGCGTCGCAAGATCGTATGCTAGAAAAATAGAAAAATACATTAATGAGCATTTCCAAATGCAATAAAGAGTCATTATGAATTACAATACCACTTGGACAAAAAACGTACTAAGAACTCCATGGTAAAAAAACATTTGCAGCTGTTTGATGATACAGATTCAGTATCATGAATGCATTGTGTGGCTGCTAGCTATTACAATTTAATCTTACTGACAATCCATACAAAAATATAATAGGACTGTTGAAATTATTAATGCTCAAATTGAATTATATAAATATCAATGCTTAAGCCCAAAGGTTGAATCCAATATTAAATTACTACATATTTTGATATTTTTTTTTAGATTCGTATGACAAAAAAATGTGTTTGTACGAGTAGCCTACTAAAAGTAATTGCAAGCAAAACACCGTACTCATTAATTGTTTTTACTCATTGACTAATATACGTCATTCCACTAATGTACGTAATGTATGTAACGTATGTAAGTCTCTAATTTTAATATTAACATATCTTTAAGTTTTATTTTAATATTCCTCTACTTGCTATTTCTTAAGCCCTACTGAACAAAAATGTACATTATCTTTACTGTACTGGCTAATGAGAAGATCATCCAAACTGTCTCTAGAAAATAAACTTCTATTATACAAAGCAATAATAATTCCAATATGGACTTATGGGATAGAGCTATGGGGCTGCGCCAGCAAGAGTAACATTCAAATAATCCAGAGAGTCCAAAACAAAATTCTGAGAATGATCTGTAAGGCTCCGTGGTTTATGACCAACCACATGAACCATAAAGACTTAAAAACTCCTACAGTAGCGGAAGTTATTAAAAACATAAGTCTAATCTTTCAAAACAAATTGGATGTACACGTCAATCCGGAAATATAAATAGTACAGACAGCCGAAAAATTAAAACGCTTGAAAAGAAAATGGCCCAGTGATCTACCGCCAACAACATAATTTTCTCTGTTTTGCACAGGAAAATTTTCAAACAAGTTACTTTTAATTATTATTTATTATTGATTATAGTTTTTATTATTAATACTATTATTTTAATTATTATTTATTCATTTATTTATTCTATTTATGTTCTTTAACTCCTTTTATTCTATTTTCTTTCTTCTTGATTTTGATTTTCAATACTATAACTTCTAACTTATATTTTGTATTGTAATCTGATTGTTAAAATTAGCAGAAATAAATAAAATAAATCTTTACCGTCTATTGAACTTTTCTGCTACCTCTAATTTGATAGAATATTGCAAACCACGTTTGAATATCCACCATAATTTAAATTGTAACCACAAAAATTCCAATAATACGTAAAAAATAATCTAGTTTTAATTATTTACCTGTGCGTTTCCATGGGTTTGTGGTATTGATGACGCTATCTCTTGGCGATTCGGGTTGGGAATCATTTTCATCATCGTCATCGTCGCTATCATTCATCTACGAAAGAAAAAAATATATTAAATATTGAAGAAAAAATATACATGTGAATAGTGTAATAGCAAAAACTTAATATATGCGTAAGCTAACAAAATTAAAAGTTATTTGAATAGAATTTCATTCCCTCATATGAAAAATGATCAGTATAATATTATATTCGTATTCATTTGCATATATGTCCTGAATTACGATTCATGTCAAGGTTAATTAAATATAATAACTAAATCCTGAATCATCACAAAATTCTTTAATTGAAAATGAAAAAATATTTAATAGAAGGTAATTTGTGGTCAGCAAAAATTTTTATGTTTCATTTTTTTATGTATTAAGTGGATCTTGCATCCATAAACCAACTGGCCTCAAACAACTCCTAGAAGTATCCATAATCAAAAAATATCTTAGAATTATAAGCGCAACACTTTTTTCAAATATTGTCTTGAATCTTGAATGGAATAGTTTTATCAAAATGTTGCAGTTCAAATATTACTGTATTGTATGCGGTTCAAAATTATATTAACATTATAATAATTAATATTTTTTTAAATTTTGTTTTAATTTAATTTAATCATTTAAATATGTTATTAAATTCTACATGCAACGAACAAAATTTGGCACCACAATAATAATATGGCAAATATACAGAGTGAGCCATTTAAAGTAGAAGCGTTTTGAAAAAATATGTTGCAGCTGTTTTGTGAAAATGAAATGACTTTGAAAATAATATTAATGACAACCTTTGGCTTTCATACGAAATGGGTTGTGCTCGATGCTTCCACTTTGAATAGCTTAAGTTTATAGATCTCAAGCATGTAATTTGTCTCAAAAAAATATTTTTATGTTGTAGTATAGTTTAATAATTTACTTAATACTATATAAAGTTTATTATATTTGTAATTAAAATTTAAAATCACCTGTAATATAGAGAAGTCAGCTTTAATCGGCCTTCTGACGGGCCGCACACTGTTTGGTCCACTTGCGAGCCCATCGCGTTTGAATGCAGCTGTAACAAATAGGAAAATGTTAACTTCAATGATAAATTTCAATAAAATAATAATTCAACTTTATATTAAAATACATACAGAATATGGTATTACATAAACTGCGGTTTGTTCGTTTTAATATTCATAACTGAAACCGCAGCTTATAGATATTACTTAAATAATGAAATGCTCGGCAAACGTAGAACTGGTTTGCACAAAAGTTTAAATAACTTTATAAAGAAAAGTTTTGTTATACAACTAGTGTTTTAACGAAATGAGTAAATGCACTTACTGAAGTCAAATAATTTTGGAACAAAGTAGTTAATTAATTTTTTTGCTAGTTTTATGAAAGACAAACGATGTATCTTGTATTTACATATGATTCGATACACGTCGAAGCATTCCAATTGTTTTACTATCAAACCTAAAGAAATCGAAGTATCATTTGTTATGGCTTTATTATGACGATTATTGAAAATTAAGTAACATGTGATATGAGACAGTATTATTTACTGGATAATAAAGCAGCATTTTCGTAACATTTCATGAATTTCGCTCATTACAAAAGTTAAGTTAATGACGTTTAGACTTCTTATTTCTTTAAACTACTATAAGACAAATTAGCTAATGAGATATTATCAAGAAAACCATATTTAATTATGGCATAAGTCAATTAAATGCAAATCTTTATCAATCAAATTAAACTGTTATAGAGCGAACCGACAAGCTCGTTGAACAAGCTACCAAATTCCTTAAATTTTTACAGTACAATAAGATTTGTTAGAATCCATTCTTTTTTCATTCATTCATTCCAGTCAATATTCTAAATATAAGAAATAAGCAAAAACTCATTAATTTTAAACGTATTTTGTTAGACAAGAACAATACGATAAAATTTCAAAAACAAAATATTATACTGGAAAAAAAAATGAAGAAGATATCGTATATTTTAAAAATTTTAGTATAATTGAAAAATTTTAGTTTAGATTCAAATTATGTCATGGAAATTTTCATGAAACCTAAACGCTTAAATGGAAATTAAGTTTTTGAGAAAACAGAGCATCCGATTTGAATGATTCAGAAAACATTCAATTCGTAGTGATGAAAAGAAGTGGTGATTAGTTTTTGGCAAAGATAGGTCTAACCGTTTCAGAGATTAGAAGCTAAAAGTATAAAAAATAGCAGTTTTTGAGAGTTAAAAGCATCTGGTTTATCAAGAAGATATTGCATTAAGAATTTAAGTATAATTGAAGTTTTATTCTAGCCTTCTTAGTTTCAAACTATGTTATAAAAGATTTTTATGAAACCTAAACGCTTTTTCAAAATCAAGTAATAAATAGGTGATTAATGATGATATTGAACTACAACTATCCAAACTATTGCAAATACTTTTGTTAGTTATTTTATAAAGATATGCACAAAATGAACTTGAAATGCATTATTATAAGTCTTTTTATCGATACAATTTGAACAAGAGTGAAACTCAGGGAAGTAATTGTAAATAATATGGATTGCGCTGAGTTGATCGATATTCTTATCCAAGATATAATCATTCTGAACCATAACAATAATTCGCTTTCACTTCGCATTCGATTAAATTTATTTTGTAGGACAAAAGCAATTGTAGCATAAATATATTTTATATTATAAAAAACAGATTACACACTCATTCTAAACAGCAGGTATCATTTATATATATGAAAGACATGTTAAAAAAAAATGTATGCATATAACTGAGTATTTCGCTTGAGAGTATGAATGAATTTACGATTGGATACTATTTTTCCAGGTAAATTACACCAATAAATTTTTTAAATTTAATTGAGAGATTTAGAAGATCTTCAGAGTGTAATAAACTGTAGTTATAGAAAGTAAAATTTTCAAAACTAGCGATAAAATTAACACTAAATAAACAATTTAAAATGTAGGAATAAACATTTAATTTGTTATATTAACCCTTTCCACTTGCGCATTCCGGCATCCGAGTGAAAAGGGTTAAAAGTATTTGTTTGTCATTTATTTTAGGGATTATGTGCCAATTCTGTGGTAACAAGTGCAAACAAAATCTGTGAAAATCTTATTTATTTTTTACACATAAAACCGTATGCTATAAATGCGCATCACAAAAATGCAGTTATTATAACATTCTTCTACGTTTGATTATATGTAAAATACGGCTGATCATACAGAAAATATATAGTATTTTCAAGGTTTTCAGTACCAAGAAATAAGAATAAGATAGCGTTGTCATAACAACGGTATGTTACCGGCTATGTTACCCCAGAATTGGCCCCTTAATCCAGTGAACAGTGAATTCGAATTTGAAATTTTTATAACTATTTATAGCGATCTGGCCGAGATGAAAATTTGGTATAACAACCACCGGTTCCAAATTCGATATGCACCATGGCTAGCTTGAAATCAAGCAGTAGTATTATCAGAAATTACCTAGAGATGGAAAATCTAAAATATGAGACCAAGAGAAAATAATAGCCTTTCGGTGTAATAAAAATCTCATCAGTATTACATAAAAAATCTAATAAGATAGAGATGATTGGTGAACTACTAGATTGCATTCTAACAATACTAGGTAATCACATCACAACAGCTCATAAAATAAATTTCGTTCTGAGTGTTGATCAAACAAACAAGTAGATATCTAGACATTTGTAGATTAATTTAACGCCTCAAAACGACACAATGCCTTTTAATTACCATTGTTAGTCCAAGATTTTAGTTTCGTGTTGTGATATTTTCGAGATAAGTGATTTATATTCAAAGAATATTTAGATCGCTATGATTGACGGATTAATACACGGCAAAATAAAAACAAATTAGTAGAGCATGAACATATTCTTAATAGACAAAAAATGTCAAAAACAGCTACACGCCGTGACTGCCAGAACGAATGACACGTACGTGGGTTACCATTGTATTTGGGGGGTCTACCGTACCATTCCAAGATCTCCAGTTACCTCCAAGATAAAATTCACAATACAAACAAATATTAATTAAAATATTATCTTTTTGAATATAATGACTTATCAGTTTATACAATGGGTAATAAAACAATATTATCATAGTTCTAGCCTTTAACAAAATATTTAATTTAATTCTCCCATATACCTTCAGCAGTTTATATCAACACGCGCTAGAAATTCTGAATAATAATAAATATTTGCTTAGTTATGATAATAATTGTATATATAATGTTATTAATAAACTTTTATTGGATAATTAAATACACGTTGGGTGTTTTTGTTTACATGAGATGTTATTTATGTTAATCTCATATGGTATTATTACATACAATGATGTAATGTTGGTATAATTTTTCTTAACAATGTTTGTTTTAAAATAAATGACCTTTCAATATTGGTTTTATATTATCTACAAGCACGCCTGAAGATGTAACAAGTGTCATTAAATATTGAAGAGATACAAAAAACATTAGATTATCCGGAGTAATTATTTTTAAATTATTTTCTAACTGAATTTTAGAGAAAAGGTTTTACTTTTTATTAACTCACGATCTTAAATTTAACGTTTGGTCTGAATGCCTAATACAAATACATTTGGATTTAAGGTAGATAATGAAGACTTCAAATTACCACTAAAATTTATATGCATACAAAACCAATATTTTTTCTTTTCATTCCATTAAAATATTCTTCTATTTTCAACGATGATTTAAAAAGATTCAGAATCTCCTCTTGGGCAACCTCGTCATAAATACGGTATGCATTTTAATTTACTAAATATGAGTTTTAATATGAATCTACTTGCTTATTCTGATTTTTTTTTTGACTGATTTTTGCATAATTTTAAATATTCCCAAAAAATTAAGTTGGAAATAAATAAAAAAGCAAATTTATATGCCTAAGTTTAAAGATTGATCATTATCCTTGAATCAGACATAATATAACAATTGTTGACCAGTACTAGTTGAGACTTCACGCTTCACCCAGTATTCTAAATTAATTTACATTCAAAAACTATTTGTAATATTGAAATATTTTAGGATTTTCAATTTTTCTCTTCCGAAAAAACAAAATACTGTTCTTTAATTTAATAAATATTTAATTTGTAATTTTTTCCTACTTATAAAAGTCCTCCAACTATAAACTTTATACTACATGGAGTGCTAGTCGAGCGCAAACTAAGTGCTCAAACATAGAAGGGACTGTAACGTCACTTGCTGAGCGAACATTGCCGACGACAATCGCGGGCTTTCCCGATTGATTAAATGTCATATGACATAAGTTTTAATTTATTAACATAATGGCAATTGTGATAGCTGATAATTTTATAAAAAGTGATATTAATAATATTTCTCCGAAAAAAATGTACATAAAATCGAATACACCTGTTAAAATCGGTTGATATATTATAAGGTCTATGTTAGGCACGTAACATATGACATATGACATTTGATCAATCGAGAGAGTCCGTGATTGTCGTCGGCAATGTTCGCTCAGACATGTGACGTCACATACTCTTCTATGTTTTGAGCACTATATACAACGGAAAACATATGAGGACTAGCAGTCCATGTAGTGTTATGTCTATGCTCCCAACTCTTCTATGTAAACACATAAAATAAAAAGTTTAATTCAGCTCAGAGTGTTCTAACTTTATAATATATAGTCCCACAAAAACACAATATTTTGGATAAAATAAGAAAAACCTATAGGCATTCGAATAACGCTAATTACAAGGTAGTCCAAATCAGTGCCGGCTTTAGGGTAGGGCGAGTTGGGCGACCGCCCTGGGCGCCGGCAAAAAGGGGCGCCGCAGGCGCCCCCCGTTTTGTGCTCATAATTCGAGGTCTGCATAGTCGTAAAATCCCTAAATTAAGGGGCTTGTTCTTTTTTTCTTACAAAAAATGCAAGGTATTTGTTTTTGTTTTTCTCGAAATGTAATTATCATAGAGACATGCGGTTTTTTTTAAACAAAAATTACAATATCATAGAATATTACGTAATTTTTTTCTTTTTTTTTTTGCGCCGTCATTTTTTAA